TCCTCTCCTCTCCTCTCGCCCCTCCCGTGGACGTGGACGATTTAGCTCTCGTTCGATCGTTTCTCCATCTCCGACTTATATTCCCGCCTCGCGAAAAAAAGGATGTCCGAACAGAGATGTCCGAGCGGAGATATCCATGGAAGATGGAGCCTCGCGAGGACTCTCGAGGTCGAACACGGCCAAGGTGAAACGTCCACCTGGTGGCTCCCCGCGCGATTACGTTCGGTTTACGGACTCGGATCCGAACACGTTGGACGTCTTCGATCGCTTTTACCTCGAAAAAAAGGGAAAAAAAGGATTTCCACTCGACTTTCACCGACGCATCTATGTATGCGCGTTCCCTCCTCTTTGTTCTTCTCCCCTCGTTGTCCGATCCGGAGAAAGATCGTGGAGAGGCATGGCGGCGAGTGATACAGGCCCCCTCCCCCTTTTATCGAGCTTTTTATCGGCGACAGAAGAAGAAGAAGAAGAAGAAGAAGAAGAGGAGAAGGAGGAGGAGATTCCTCGTGGACGGTTCTATGAGGCTCGTTCGACGGCTGGCAAAAAACGACACCCTTCGGAGTAAGAAGACGGTGGAAGAAGAGCAACAAGAAGGTATTTTAGGGAAGGAGAGAGGGAAGAAGGAAAGAAAGGAGGGAGGGAGAAAATGGAAAAGGAACGAGATGAGATGGAGGCAGCAGCGGTCCGTGCACCGATACAGCCACGGACACACGTGCGTGGCTATTGATTCTCCCGGTTGCTGGTTCGCGCGAGCGCGCTCCAACGGAAAGAAAGACAGACAGACAGGGAGAAAGAGAGAGAGAGAAAGTATACAGACGCAGACATCGAAGAGGAGCGAAGCTGCCGTAGCTGGCTTCTGCTGGTGCCGCCGGGTACACGAGCGGAGATGGACTCCGGATCGAAAGAGCGAGAAGCTCGAGGAGGGAGGAGGCCAGCTCTCGCTGGACAAGGAGAAGACTTGAAAAAAGAGAGAGAGAAAGAGAGAGAGATCGAGAGAAGAGAGTGCGTGGCGAGCCCTCTCCGATAGAAGGAGAGGCAGAGGAGAAAATGAGCGACCTCTTCTCTCTCTTTCTCTTTCCCGCCTTTTATCCGCGTTCCTCTTCTTTCGACCATCTCCTCCTCCCTTCGTTTCGTCCTCTTCGAGAGCCGAAGGAAAGAAAAAGAGAGAGATTAAAAGGAGAAAAAGAAGGAGATGGAATTAAAAGGAGGAAAAAAAGATGGAGAGAAAGACAGAAAGAGAGAAAAAGAAAGAGAGGGATACTGGTGAAAAATGGACAGCCAGCGAGAGAAGACAGCCTCGGGCTACGTCGCGAGCTGCGACCCTGCTCAGGGAGGGATCTCTCTCTGTCTCTCTACTCTCTCCTCTCCGACGTACTGTTTCTTTAAAAAGATGTATAAAGTTGCGCGTGCACCGCGAGAGCGGAAATTATTGGCGATGTTCCCCGGCCACGTATATGTGTCGAATGTTCCTTGGCGATGTTCAGCAGCGGGGTAATTAGGCGGATCCGTGCGACACGGAGTTTGCCGCGGACGAGCGCGAGCCGAGCGTCATTTGAATACGCGCACGCCTTCCCGTGAGAATCGTCGCCGGTCGTTACGCGTCCACGTTCACCGCGTGGGTGGCTGCACGCAACCGCGTGGGCGGATCGACTTCGCTATGGTGGTGGTGCTGGAGGAGGAGGAGGAGGAGGAGGAGGAGGAGGAGGAGGCGGAACGACGACATTTTCGTCGGGGAGAGGGGAGTGTCGGGTTGACATCGCGCGGGTTGACGATACACGCGACCTCGAGATTTTCTTCACCTTCGCCGCGACTTCGAAGGCTAGACCATTGACTAGAATCGTAGGAATGAATCCTACGTTAGAGTTAATGGTTAGAAAGAAGGGAGAGATTTGTTCTTTGGGGACTAACGGGTGTTCGATATCGATGATGTATTATTGGCCCGATTAATTGGGTTGAAGTGGTCGAATTTGGGAGGGAGGGGATTTTCGAACGAGAAATTTTCTCAGGGTTGTTCGGTATAATTTGGGTCATCGAATTCTTATTTGCTCGAGTTGAAAGACTCGAAGCGACTCGAAGGTGACCTGGAAACGTCATTCGACGTAATGAGGTATATCTCGTGTGTCATAAAGAGCGCGACGGCTCATGCCCTCATCTTGAACATCCGATATGGAATTATTTTGCATAAATTTTGCCAACTTTTCGCGATTCATTTCGCTTAGAACGACCCTTTAGGCGACGCTTTCTTTCCTTCGCTTCGCAAGGGAACGTATCGGGATAAAATTCTGGAAACGATTTTATCGGGATGTTTGTTTTATTTATTCAAGCATAATTCAAGAAAATTCTACATTGGAAGGTCCTTTTAGCAGAAATGTTCATAGGTGAGTGGTCTCTGTCGTAGCTCGTGTCGCTCGTAATTGCACGCATCCTTCTGAAAGACCGGCGACAAGTTATTATCGGTGAAATACGTGTTCTCCGCGACATCACGGCCATTTGTCATCCACTACGAAAATCCCTCTCTCTTTCTCTCTCTCTCTCTCTCTCTCTGACGTCGTTGCTTGCGGAATCGCAGCTTCGCAGATTTCTTCGAATCCGATGAAAAATTACATTCCTCTTTGAAAAATTGGCATTAGTCTTTCGCGAATCCATTTAAAGCTATAATAAAACTGGTAGAATCGCGAAGTCGAGAAAATTTTTTCAATCTTCTAAGCGAATCTTCGAAGAAAAAAAATTCATTCCTTCCCTTTAAATCTTTATCCATTTTCCATCGAATTTCTTCTATCGAAATAGAAAAGAACTCTCGAATCTCGTCTTCCATTTAAACCTGACGATCCCGAACGATAAAGCCACGTTTATTTCCCTCCTTCCATTATTCGATATTCTTTCCATTAGAAGTTTGAAAATAAGAATGGAACGAACTCCGCGATCCCGATGTACACATTGAGATGCTAATTCCTTTTTCCACTTGCCGGTAGTAAAAAGGTTTTTAGCACCTCGGTGTACCTGTGTCGATCGAC